TGGATTGGATTTCTATTACAACTTTAACATTGATTACTAAAATCTTCCAGTAATTTAAATTGGTGGAATGGCTTGTATTTCCACTCATTGTGGCACTGAAAAATGGAGAGATGAGGCTCCAGGGCTTCGTTGTTCTGGTTGTAAAGTTTCTCTTTATCTATCGGAAAACTCTTCTAAATTGGTAAGGTGTCTATTAATAAGCGAACATCCCCTCTTAAAACATTTCCTTGATAATGTAAGATGTTACAATACCCAATTTCAAATGACATCATTTGGAGATAAAGAGATCAGAGAAGAAAACTCCATGTCAACTTATTAAATTCAAGGTCAAGAATACTACTTAATAGACAGTTTACTTTCTGGACAGATTAAAAGTTCGCAGTACTTCCAAATGTATTGTATGTCTGAAGCAAAATACGTCTCTATTTGTTCAGATAATGCCCTAAAAAAACTTTGATAAAATCATTATACAAAAGTATTCATGGTTGCAATCCTATTGTAAAAACTTTTAATACCAATTATGATTTTCGAACAGTAAATGAACGTAAAAACTTGCAATTTATCATTCATGCCAACCAAACTCCTGTTGGGGAGCATTAAGGAAGACACAATATGCCTAGGGTAAATAAAGTTGCTGCACTAATAATTTACATAGAAAGATACCCTAGAGATATTATTCTACATGGTTGACATGAGCAGTTCAAGCAAGTTTCTGAGCTCCACCGATTATACAACTTTTTTCAATATCCTCTTGTGTTTGTTTTTGGAGAAAATGGATATTTTATTGTTACATCATTTTACAGTCTTAGAAACAAAACTGTATTTTGCGTGCAATCCTGCTCTTGTTGGTCTATGTTAATAAATGATCGAATAAATTACCTGCTTTATTGTAAAAACTTATTCAATGAATTATTTGTTGATATGACGACAAAAATGATAACAAATTATTTGCGTTACTTGTGAACACAAATAAAACTACTGCATGATAAAATTAGCAGCAATCTACAAAATTCAATAAATAATAATAGTAATATTGAACCCCTCAGTATTGGACAGCCTGTAATTTAACCATCCTAATTCACTGGCTTACCATGATATATGCATAAAAAGTTTAAGATGCAATGGCTTGTGTACTTGCGTTTAGGCGCTTATTTTTATTTATCACCTTTACATGTAATCCTCAGTAATAGGAAATAAAAAATGAATTACTTAAAAATCCAAACCTTCCGACAGGCATGCAAAAAAAAACTAAGAAAAATTTTCACTCAAAACTAAGAAATCCTGTAAATTTTCTCACTAAGAAAGCAATATATGGCAAAGTTGATGCTCAGATCTAAAGTGTCAAATAGCAAAAACGAGGACTACCAAACGGGCAAGTATGTACTTTTATGGCTTAAAACGAAAATCCAGACAGATAAAGTAGACAATATCATTTTAATAGAGTTAACAGATCCTCATCATGATTCCTTGCTAATTTATTTCATTTCGAAAAGTATAATTCATGGACCTTGTGGCGAATTTAACATGGCTTCAGCATGTATGGATAATGAAAAGTGTACAAAAAAGTATCCTCGAAATTGTGTTACAAAAACTACAGATGTCGACTACCTGACCTTTCCTAGAAGAGCTCTTGCAGATGGAGGTCACAGTTCTGTAGTTACTATTCGTGGCAAAGATGTAAAAATCGATAAACGTTGGGTTGTACCGTACTCATCCGTCTTTTTTTGAGGTTTCAATAATCATATTAATATTGAACTTCGTCATTTAGTGCAAGCAATTGAGTTCATTTGCAAACATATTAACAAAGGATCAGATCATGCCACCTTTGCAGTTGAAAATATTAACGAAATTAAAAACTATGCCAATGGACGCTATATTTCTTCCCCTAAGGGATTTTGGCATATTTTAAATTTTGAGATTCACGCACGGTATCCTCCAGTCTTACATTTAGATGTCCGTCTTAAAAATTATTAAAAAGGTTACATCAATCAGCAAAACATTCAGCACATTTTCGAAAATCCGAAAAAACAACGTTGATTGCGTTATTTCAACTTTGCGTAATAGATGATTTTGCTCAAACTCTTTTTTATTCTGAAGTTGCCACCTATTACCGATGGGATAATAATCAATTTATTAGAAGAAAACAAGGAAAGATGTTTTAGGCTGGCAAGAAGCAAAAAAAAGTTTAGCCATAGGAAGAGTTGATACGATTTATATATCCAATTAGAGTGCTTCCATCTTTGAATGTTACTCCAATATGTTCGAGGCCAACTTCATTTGAGTACTTGAAAACCGTTGATGGTGTTAATTACGCTTTCAAAACTGCCTGCCACGCACTTCGTTTATTGAAAAATGATAATCAATGGGGAAAAAACACTTGCAGATGCTGCTTTGTCTGAGAATTCATCAAAATAATGTGACTTACTTGCAATCATTTTAGTTTTTTCTGAACCATCGCAGCCTCAAATTTTGTGAGATACGTTCAAACAAAAGTTACGCAGAGATATTCTTTACTCTGAAAGAATTTAACTCAACGATTTTTAAATCACATTCTCTAAAGAAATTTTCAACAGAGGTTTAGTTATGATTAAAGACAAAATCCTCTCTTTTTCAGAAAAAAATGGGTTGTGTGACATGTGACGCACCACAAAGTGAGAGCTTCAGAAACATGTATTTAGTTATGCTAGGTTAATCTATCTGTTCATCCACGGTTTTGCGTTTTTAAAATGATTTTCCAGATTATTGTTAGGCAAAAAAACGAAAAATGTATCCTACATATTTTAAAAAATTTTTCATATAAGCTAGAACTTTTCTAAATATTTTCCACCTTAATTTTATAAAGAAATATTAAAAACACTAAGAACTTGCGGTTATGTCTTCACATAACTTCACACCTCCTTTTTTGTTTACCACAATGCTTGTTTTTCTTTTAAAAACCCGTAAAACTCGTTATTTTTGCTTCATCTTGCTTCTTTGTAACTATATGGCATATTTTGTAATATTTGGCTGCTATACCATATTATAGAAACCCGTTTAATCAGTACTGGCTACCTGCATCGATCTGCTAAACATATAAAAATGACCTGTTAGTGTACTTTATTATAATAACGGTATCTACTAGTGTATATTGAATAATTATTAACTACTATATTCGTTAAAAATGAGCGCAGCAAACATGTAGGTGCTATTTTAAGGTTATAAGGTGGAAAAAACATTTCTTGTTATTCTTGTGGCTGGACTATTAAAAGGACAAAACGTGAAGAGAAACTTGCGAATGCGTACAGTCTAGTAGCACCCTGACAAAAATATCGGAAGTACAATCCGACTTACCCGGAAACTGTTTGTTTCACAGCCTTATATGGTTATACGAACTTGACATCCCAACTGCAGAGTTACGGATAATTCTGCGAAACTCTAATTTGTTACAAAAATGCAGAAAGCCAGAAGAAACAAAAGAGATTTTAGAGTCACAGACAATGTACGGGAACAGCAATTGCACTTTTCTGTTCTCTCAAGAATTCAAGAGAAACATTTGTGTGTATGTCACATTAACCAATGGAAGTTATATTCACACTCATTATGTTGCTACGACAGACGGTAAATTTTGCCATTTACATCTTGAGGGTGTAAGTGAAAATGCCCATTTTACGCCTCTCATACAGGCCTCCAGCATTATGAATACGGAACATGAGTCAGAGACAGAGCCACCGAAAGACCATAGTAGTAGTGAGAGAAGTGAGGAGAATAAGCATAAGTCCGAGCTAGATGAAAGAATAGACAGTGGCAAGCGGGGGAAGGAGAATTAAAGTCATTCAGAAAAAAAGCAAAGCACTCCCAGAAGAGCAGTGGACACAAGTAAGCATACGAAAAAACGGAGAGAGAATGGACAATCGAGCATCAATGACGACGGCAACGAAAGTACAGTAGAGGAAGAAATAGAGTGAGCCAACGAGTTTAATAACGCGCTATGCTTAACAGAGAGCGAAAACAAAGCCAACACGATCATACACTCATCACCAATGGAAAAATATAGAGTATGCAGAACACGCCTACCAACGGAAAGGCCACCATGATTGCAAAAAGGAGGGGAAGATCCACCCCTACCACAAAAATTGAATAGGATTGAGGGGCATCCATTCAAGTACTTAGACAATCTAGCATTTATGACAATAACAGAGGCAGTACCCCACACAGAGGTAATAGATGTACTGCATGAGAGATGATACATCAATTTTATATGCATAAACAACAAAGAGAGAAGAATAGGAGAAACTAAAATGATGAACGCAAGAAGAATAAAAATTATGCACATGTATGCAAAAGAGCATTTTGAAAAAATGGTGCTTAATTCTAAAATTAAAAAAAGGATTAAGGCACTTAAAGGGGTAAAATTAGCAAATGAAATTAAAACAATTGTGATTGTTATAGATCTAGCAATCCTTCATCTAACCCAGTGGGGATACTTTGTCGATACCTTTGAGTAAATATTCACAGATGCTGGACTAGCAGCGGTGTTCTACAAGAATACCCTAGTAATCCCACCAACAGACCAAAGATTCAAAATTATTAGAGAATACCGCGAGGCAGCAATAGGTGGACATAGAGGAATAAATAAGACATATAACAGGATCACCAAAGACTTCTACTGGAGGAACATGCGCCCAGATGTTAGACAAGTCATTCTGGGATGCGCATCATGCCAAACAAAAAAACTCGTCTAAATTAAAACGAAACAAGCCATGCTCATCACCGATACACCGAGTAGACCGTTCAAAAAAATTTCCATAGACTTTTACGGGCCCATCAGTAAACCTTCTGCAAATTAGAACACACACATACTATCTATGCAAGAATGGCTGACGAAATTTATAGTCCTCGCACCCGTTAAAAGAGTGACAGCCAAAGAAACGGTAAGAACGATAATAAATTAGTTCATAGCGTATTTCGGACTGCCGCAACATTTATTATCGGACCGAGGAACTCATTTTATGAACGAAAGCATGGACAAATTTGGAAGACTGTTTAAAAGAGACAAAATGGGCAGCACAACATTTCACCGACAAACGAACGGTGCCTTCGAATGTATGCATTATACTCTCACGGAGTACATTAAAGCCTACGTAGAACAAAACGATCACTCGGACGGGCATATACCTGTGTCCATGCACTCATACAATACCACGGACTACCAGAGTATGGGATACTCACCGCACAAGCTCGTTTTTGGACACAAAGCAAGAATACTATCTAGGATAAAACTGCCACCTAAAGGCCAAACTTTAAATGAATATTTCAAAGAGCTCGTGGAAACTCTGACGGGAATGAGAACCATCGCAGCAATGAACCAAGTTCAGGCAAAAATATTGATCAAAGTATTACTATGACCACAAACTAAATACAAGATATTTCTTAGAGGAAGAAATCGTTTTTGTGCTGAAAGAGCCATCAAAGGGTAAATATGGTTCGCAATAAGAGGGCTCGAATGAAGTAACAGACATTGATTATGTCAACAAGAACGATAAACTATAGAGAGGTTACGAAATAAGAGTATCCCACGTAGATAAGACTAAAAAAGTGTGTATGGTAAAGACACCACCAGAGAAAATAAACAAGGTAAGACACACGAAAGAACCTCCTTAAACATTTAACTGCTCTTAAAATTTTCGCAGCCCCTGGACACAGCGCGAAAATACGATACAAGAGAGGGATTAGTTAGGTTTACGATATAACTTTTTTTCACTGCCTTCAGACCGCCCACGAACTAGATATTTAAGTACGTTAGACTCAGATTTGCAAGCTAAAAAAAACAAAAACAAAAAGAACAGTAACTATAATGGGGAGGAACGCATAAACAAACCATTATTAACATTAATCAATAGTGATTTGATATAACGCGGATAAAAACAGCAAAGTGAGTAAGGGGCGTATGTGGCACTCTCTAGTAAGTAGACGCACTTAATAGGTGTAGAATTAAGTCACAGCCCGAATGTACAAATAATAGATGGCAAAGAAAAATATACGTATAGGCTGACATATGCTTGTCAATTAAAATTATATTATGCCAGAAATACACAAAGAAAAGTTAATGTAAAATAAGCAAAATGAAATAAGTATGAACAAATAACAATTTTTTTTAGTACCCCATTGACTTTACTATTGTTTAAATAAAAAATAAGCATTTTAGCAGATACTGATAGATAGAAAGGAGCATAGAGAAATGATGTGAAATAAATAAAGCAATAGCAGAAGAGATAAATTTTTTTTTCTAAAAGGTCCACGAGCCTACGTCGAGTATGAAAAATTGAACATTCTTTTTTTTTTCCTTCTGTCATTCTCTATCAGAAACAATCCCACTCCTACCATCATTATATGCTGATAGTCACAACATCTGAAACGTCACACATTATCCTTACGAGGTAACGAATCTACTGCCATGTCTAAAATAATAAACAGCCCGTTCGTTGGATCGCCCACCTCGAAAGAAATAATCAACCTGACCCAGCGTGTGGCAGTGTTGCCTCAGGACTTGGCCGTCAAAGGACAGCTGGAAAGCTTTCGTGTAATCCTGGAACATCTTCAGGACAACAATACCGTGTTATCAACTCGCCTTTGTTGAAACAGTGGCGTCGATGCTAGAAAAAGGCATAGAGATCTACAACAACAGCAAAAAAAAAAAAAAAACTCTTGTAATCTTTAAATCCACTACCTACACAATGACATTGTGCAACAGTGCACGTGGGCTGTTTCTGTAGAATTGCGTCCATGAGGACAGCACACAGAGATTCTCGTGGTGCAAAAAATCATGTTATCACAGGAGCAGTCTCGAAGCTCAGTTTCGGAGACTCAGACAATGGCGCAAACACCTTAGAAAGCGCACTTTCTCCAGAGACCAAAAGAAAAAAAAAGAAAAAAAAAAAGTTTTGTTTTTGAGGGGAAAAACAGCGAAAGAGCAGCGAACGAAATCAGCAAATGCGTTTATATAATATAGCAAAGTTTCTGGCCACAGAGGCAGAAGTAATGTCTAACAGAATAAGTGATGAAGTGGAAAAAATAGAAGCAGATAGAAAGAAAATGGAAAACATAATTGACTTACAGAAAATAGATAGTTCAACAATTGCATCTATAAATACACTAGATAGAAGCGTGAAGCAGCATACGGCAGGATGTGGCTCCATAATAAACGCAGTCCTCTTTACGGCAAGGGGACTAGTACATTCGAGGCTTATATCGCCTACAACTTTTGATAACTCTAAATTACAGGCAAAACTATCCAGACCTGAGCTAATTTTTCTGGAAGCGGGATATCAGATAAATCCGCTCAAGATGATAGACATATCTAGATTAACAGTTTTGATACAGAACAATCAGTTAATATACCACCTTAGCATCCTGCTCGTAGAGAAAGACTACGCCAATTTATATAGAGTTCTACCCCTACCGATAATGCAGGAAGGCCTAAACAGCTCAAATACTGATGCCTATATAAATACGGCCAGAGCACGAATACATAGCCATAAATAAGAAAATCAACACATACATGGCAATAACGGCTCTCGAAGTATTTAGCTGTAAGAAATTGCGTGAGTTATTTATCTGAGACCATACGCAACCGATAAAAAAGATAAGGCAACATCATTCGTGAAAAGCACGGCTCATAGTACAGCAAAGCGTAAGCAATTAAAAAGAATGTTCAGTTAAAATCTTTTAGCACTATACGTACTGGGCCAGATTTCATGCACCAAACCTTAGAGCTTTTACAGCACTACAAGAGCAGCCACTGTTTATAGAGTGCTATGGCTCAAACTATAGAATAATTTTACTTAAAGGCACGGTCATTCTACGGCTTACTACAGCCTGTGCTGCTAATAACACGAATGTGCGCGTAGCAGCTCCGTCAAATATAGAGAAAAAGCTGAATACCCCCTACTTTGGGATGGTAAATATGAACATCAACGGAATATTAGAAGAACTAGATGGAACACTAAAAGATAATTAGGATTTAGATGGTGTTAACACACTATCAGCACGAAAGGATCTTAAGTTAATTAATAAACAAAGGCACTTCAGGACCAACCCACTAGACGATAGGACACCCTTAGGAGGGATTATTAAAAAGGCTCACGGGCTCTCAGAAATTTCAACAGACACAAAAAAAAACAAATTTTAAATGGCGTTTACCTAATGGCAGGACTAACAATCGTGGTAAAAGGATTCCTTTTTCTCATATATAAGTTCTTTCTCCATCGGAGGGCCCTACTATTAATATGTTATAGAATATTTACAGGTGAACAAAGAGCACAGGAGGAAGTACGAGAATTGTCAGTCATCCAAACCACGCCGACAGCAGAACTTGGAGCAGAAAGTCGACTACAACCCTCTAGACGAATACTAAAATTACCGTTGGCCGTAAAACAGGATTAAAATTCGCGAGACAACGAGTATGAACACCAGGAGTTGCTCTACTGTATCGGAGGGCGCAGTCCGTAGGACGACACTAAGAAAGAATTTTTCTTTTTTCAAAATGTGTAACATCGGGAAATTTGTTTTAAGTTTATATAAAAAAAATAGTAATAATAAGCGAACGGGAATAAGCGCCGGGAGTCGCTCGACTATATCAGAGGGCGCAGTCCGTAGGTCGACACTAAGAAAGAATTTTTCTTTTTTCAAAATATGTGACATCGAGAAATTAGTTTTAAGTCTATAAAAGAAAAAGAAAACACATATATGATGATTGTAGCTACAACTATAATAATAATAAGGATGATAATAACAATTATAATAGTAATAAGGAAAAGAGGATTAGCGCCGAAAGTCGCTCGACTGTATCGGGNTATAATAATAATTATAACGATAAAAATGAGCTGACAAAAGTGAGCGCCAGGAGTCGCTTGACTATATCGGGGGGCGCAGTCCGTAGGACGAGACCCGAAAAGATTTCTTTTTCACTTGAATACTAATTATTAAAAGTTTGTACGGATTTTTTTTTTTTTGTAAACAAACGCATGCGAAAGTTAAAATGGAAACTACATTGTAAAACAACACTTAATGTCAAGTTGAATTAAGCAAATGCCCACCTCATGGCAATTTTGTACATAATTGTAAAACAAGGCAAGTGCATGCACAATTAATATTGTAATACACTCGACACATGATGAAAGAGAAATTGAATGACTGGAAGAGCAAAAATAATAATGTAAAAAGAACAGCGGTTTCCTATAATTTAATGAAAGAATAAGTGTAAAATACTAAACTTCATAAGCAACATAAACAACAGTACACAGAACAGCACACATACATACACATAAAATTGCAAACAAGTATACAGACTTTATTTAAAGTAAAAAGTCAGCGTCATCAAGGGCGACGACGTCACGGCCTTAGACGTATAACGAACAAAAGTACAGATGAGACTGGACGCTCTCTCTCCTTAAATCTCGTAACAAGGGGCCCTAGGGCCAAGAGATAAAGAGAGCAAGCAAGGAAAGCGTATTTTAGGAGAGGACACGATAAGCCTTGAAAGGAAACATACGCGCGACTTTTCCTTAGAATCATGGTATCTTAAATGAAGTTCTTTTGAAGTAACACATGTTGATCACTGTTGCAACGTACCTGCTTACCAATATCTTCCTTACGTGACAATATTGAATAGAGTTTCATTCTTTTGGAAATGTTCAAAAACCAAATAATTTAATCTTTTTTTGATACGTTAATCTTAATTTTTTTTCGCCAATATTTTTTATTCCCAAATTATTACCACATTTCATTCAAATCAAATTTGATGTGTTCTTTATGCATCATAATAACGTGATCTAAAATTGATCACGCATAAGAGTAATTTCTTTAACTATTTTTCAATATTATTAAAACTTTGACCTTAAGATTGACTTCTTGTCATAAATGCTTAGAACAAAGGAAACTGTTTTCCGTAGAAAGTAAGAAGTACTAATAATAAGCTTCCTGTATTCAGGATTATTTTTTGTATAAGAACTCTTTTTCTGTCTTTTTTTGGTTATAGTTTCTTATTTATTATTGTATTTAAGTAATTGTGTAATTTGCGATGTTGTCCCGTTATTTAAGTCATCAAGATCACTTTAATTATGTATCAACATAACAAGTTTTCTAATTTTCAAATTAAGATAATGCAGACGTAAGCTATTACGAGTATTCTCAAAATATTTATGAGGAAATTTATATAAATATCACTATCAAATTCATCAATACGCTTATAGGTAGAAAAATCCATGCTGTTATTTGTTGTCGTTTCTTCTTTTGCTAAATTTAGAATTTTATTACTTAATAAGCAAGTGTATTTGTTGTTAAATGTATGTATCATGTTATTTATTAAGGGATTTGTTACGTGGAAGAACAAAAGGATTAATTTTATTTCGCACGGTTGGTCTTCTTCTATCTCATGTGCCCGTTGCAACAGTATGCAAATGCGTTTTCGTCCTATTTTTTTGCATTCTTGAACAGTTTTTGGCGACACTAGTGCAAAATTCTTTGCGCTTGTGCTGATTGCCACATATTCGTATGTTGGCTGTAAGTATACCACGATATCTGTTGCATGAAACCACTCCTGTTCCACCGGTAACGGAGATATTCTGAGGAGATCGAAATCCTCTTTTGTCACCAAGGGTATCTCCATATAATATATAATTTTTCCGTTAAATGCTATGGTTGCTGCCTCCACAGTTTCCCCGATTTCTTCCTCTGTTGTAGCGCCTTCGTCCCCCGGAAACTTGAGGTCCGATCTTAACTGTCCTGCCAAAATTTTGGCCTCCAATATAGCTATTAATGTTTCATTCGGTAGGTGTATTACGCCATGGCTCGCTAAATATACTATATCAGCTGCCTTTCTATATTTTGTTGCAAGTTCTTTGGCTATTTTTCCAAATTCTTTTACCATAATTGATACTTTGTCCGTTCCTGTTATCAAGTCTGTGACTATTGTTAGTCCTTCTTCCTTTATTCTCCCTTTTTCGTTTGAAGTTTGGCCCTTGGGTGGTAATTTAATGCTAGACGGTGTTCTGGCTCTCTGTCTAAAAACTAGTTCGTGTGGTGAGTATCCCGTGCTCTGATGGTCCGTGGTGTTATATGAGTGCATACACATTGGTAAATGTTCGTCCCAGTGATCATTTTTCTCTACGTAGGCCTTGATATACTCCGTAAGAGTGTGATGCATGCGTTCGATGGCACCGTTTGTTTGTGGGTGGAAAGCTGTGCTGCCTATTTTGTATATTTTATATAAGCTTGCGAACTCATCCATGCTTTTGTTTATAAAGTGAGTGCCTCGGTCCGATAATAAATGCTCTGGCGGCCCGAAGTACGCTACAAATTTATCTGTAATCATTCTAACCGTTTCTTCGGCTGTTGCCCTTTTTACCGGTGTGAAGACGATAAATTTTGTTAGCCAGTCTTGCATAGACAATATGTGTGTGTATTGATTTGCTGAGGGTTTACTAATGGGCCCGTAGAAGTCTATAGAAATTTTTTTGAACGGTCTACTTGGTGTGTCAGTGATAAGCATAGCTTGTTTTGTTTTAATTTGGACGTGTTTTTTCGTTTGGCATGACGTGCATCCCAGGATGACTTGTCTCACATCCAGGCGCATATTCCTCCAGTAGTAGTCTTTGACGATCCTGTTATTTGTTTTTTTCATTCCCCTATGCCCGCCTATTGCCGCTTCGTGGTATTCTCTAATGATTTTAAATCTTTGATCTGCTGGTGGGATTACTAGAGTATTCGTACATAGTACTGCTGCTAGTCTAATGTCTTTGAATGTTTCCTCAAAGGTATCGACAAAGTATCCCCACTGGGTTAGATTGAGGATCGCTAGGTCTCTATTGATGCCAATAGTTTTTATCTCATTTGCTATTATCACCTTTTTGAGGGCCTTAATGCATTTTTTAACGTTTGATTTAAGCGCCGTTTCTTCGAAATGCTGCTTTACATACATGTGCATAATTTTTATTCCTCTTGCCTTTGTCATTTTAGTTTCTCCTACGCTTCTTTCTTCGTTGTTCATGCGAGTCGCATTAATGTATCCTCTCTCATGCAGCGCATCTATGGCCTCTGTGTTGGGTACTGCTTCTGTTATTGTCATAAACGCTAGATTGTCTTAGTACTTAAATGGATGGCCCTTGATCCTATTTAGTTTTTGTAGTAAGGGTGGGTCTTCCCCTTGTTTTGGTGCCCATGGTGGCCTTACCGTTGGTAGGCGTGTTCTGCACACTATATTTTTCCATCGATGGTGAGTGTATGATTGTGTTGGTTTCATTCTCATTCTCTGTTTCGTATAGCGTGTCGTTCAACTCGTTGGCTTGCTCTACCTCCTTCTCTACTGCGCTTTCATTGCTGTCGTCATCGCTGCTCCTTTGCTGTCCACTCTCTCCTTGGTTCTCCGTATGTTTACTTGAATCAGCTGTTCTTTCAGAAGGGTCTTGCTCTTTGTCTGAATTATTTCTGTCCTTTTTTTCTCGCTTGCCTCTGTCTATTCCTGGCTTGGACACATGCTTACGCTCCTTGCTTCTTTCACTACTGCTACGGTCTTTCCATGGTGGCACTACCTCTGACTCATCTTCTATATCTGTCGCACTAGAAATTTGTTTAAGAGGCGTGTAATGTGCCTTTTCACCAATGCCTTCTAGATGTAAGTGGCCATATTCAGTATCTGTCGTTGCGGTATAATGAGTGTAAATGTAATTTTCGTTAGTCAATGCTAAATGTACACAAATTTTTTTCCTGAATTCCTGAGAGAACAGATAAGTACAATCGCTGTTCCCGTACATTGTTTGCGACTCCAAGATTTCTTTCGCTTCTTTTGGCTCTCTGTATTTTTGTAATAAGTTAGAGTTGCGTAGAATTGCCCGTAATTCCTTATCCGAAATATCTAGATCGTATAACCATATAAGGCTGTGGAACAAACAGTTCCCGGGTGAGTCTAATGGTATTTCCGATTTTTTTTCCGGGGTACAATCAGGCTGTGCGCATTGTAAAGTTTTTCTTCGTGTTTTGTCTTTTAAATATTCTAGCCCCTTATCTTGGGGTTAAACTTTATTGGACTGCTCATTGCATTGATTTTGTGTCGTATTTTCATTTTCCTCTGACTGAGCCATATTCTTCCCGTTATGGGCGTTTTTGTTAACTTTTTCTCTTGTGTGTAGCGCTGCTTCGTCTGTCGTTATAGTCTCGCTAGGTTCCCATATATCTATCCTTATTCCCGGTCTGCCTTCTACATCTCGCTTTTTAATGTCAATCATTACCAGAGCCCGTAATTCATCGGACCTTCCCTCTAATAAATCATGTATGTTCGGCTCTTCTCGTTAATCTGTTGATAATTCCTGAGCTTATTTTATACTTTCTTTTTTATCTCCTATATCAGTTCCCTGTTTT